GGGTTGGCAGCCAAGGGTCAGGGTGGAATCACCTGGACAAGGATGAGGGCATGGTGCTTCGCAGGATATGTGTCAGAGGATCCAGTCTGCTGACGTGGAACAGTGGGTTCGAGTCCATCTGGAAGGACTCCATGACCATTTTTCAGACACCGTAGCCACCTACAGGGGGTGGTGCACCACACCATACTCCCCCTCAAGAACCAGTTATGACTGGGGTTCCCTTGCATTGTTTTTTCAATGTATGGTTCCTATAAATAAAATAATAAGGAAGAAAATCCAGAAGTCCAGCATCTTCGTCCTGGACTTTGTTCCCGATCGTGGCACAACAGACAGCGATGCCGTCATCTCCTTCACAGCCTGAACACACATGCCAGACCTTGATCTCGACTTTGACAGAGACATCTTCTGGTACTCCAACACGATACCTGAAGCAGAGAGCACCCGGGCGTTAGCTGTGATACGGGAAGCAGAAATAACAAGGGAAACAGACAAAACAAGGGAAGCAGCAGCAATAAGGGAGCAAACGACCGCAACAATTCCAGAACTAGTAGCTGGTCCTTCAACCGCACGACCAGACGAGGAGGAACCCATGGAAGAACCATTGCTAACCGAAGCAGAGTAGCTGAAGGCGCACACATGCGAGATCCACCGAAGCGTCGCCACGTTCCCCGCCTTCTACGCCAACTCGGATCTCTATCAGCGATTTGCCGCACACAAGGCAAGCGAGGTATCATTGCATCAACAATAGGGGTGCCCCAAAAAAATAAATATACGACACAATAAGAGCAGGTGTGCTCGACAAGGACGCACTACTACTACCTGATGGAAGAGAACTACGCAAGCCATGACAAACCTGTTTCATCTACCTAGAAGCTAACCTACCACGTCGCCTGTTCCCGTCACACCACAACCCAAGCGCCCTAACTTATGCTCCACTCAGGAAGGTGTACAACAACATCCTGTACATACCTCACGAAGTCAGCCGTGCGGACTTAAACTTCGCCATCACCTTCATCGATGCAGCAACCCGTTATGTATAGCACATAAACCTCCCATCACACGACATGGCTTATGCGGCATTCGTAGACTAGCTTCCTATGGAAGAAAGGGAGCGAGATGCAAAACTGAAGAGTTTCCAGTCAGATGGGGCGATGGAGTATCAGTTACAATGCTCAAGAGAGAGGAATCAAGAAACTCTCTCTCTTCCTTACACACACCCACAGTACGGGGTAGTAGAAAGGATGAGCAGGACGCTGCAAAACACCATGCGTAAACCGCTACGTGGCATGCGACTGCTCAACTCACAATGGCCGAAAGTGATGGACCATGCCGTGCTGCTACAGAATCTGCTGTCGTCTAGCTCACTGCCGAAAAACGCATCACCGCATCTGTTGTGGATAGGGAAGCTGGGCAACACAAAACTTCTATGAGTTTTTGGTTGAATCGTAGTACCAACCACACACTGCACGTGTTGGAATATTTTTACAGAGGGCACAATGGGGACGACACCTCGGGATCGAGAAAAATTATCAAGCCTGGAAGATCTTTGACGTCCACGAAAAAGTACCAGTGGCAGCACGTGACGTGGTGTTCTACAAATACCTCACCATGCAGCATTACCTCGACAACATCGCCTACCAGCGTGATTCAAAGACCCGCACCTCCCCCGCTACACCGAAAGTGGACTTCAAATCTTGGGACTCGTCGCAGCAGTTCACCCATTGTCCGAGACGCCATCCCAGCCGCCGCAAATTGAGGAACCAACAACGGTAGAAAACGCTCTGAGAGGAAAAAAATGGGAAAATTGGAGGGAAGCAATGGACAGGGAGACAAAGGCACTACATGATAGGAATAGCTGGAAGCCGATTCCCATCTCTTAGACAACAAGCCAGACCATCCTCTCGGGGAAATGGGTTTTCCACGTCAAAGCAAAGGCAGGCGGAACGGTGGAATGCTTTAAAGCATGTTGGGTAGTAAGGGGATTCGACCACCAATACGGATGGGACTACTCAAAAACCTTTGCCCTCATGAGTTGCAACAACTCCTTGCTTATTCTCCTCACCGTCGCTGCTGCGCGCAAAATCCAATGGCGCCAGATCAACGTCGTCACTGCCTTCCTCTACGCACAGTCGACGCGGATATGTAAGCCCCGTGGCTGTGACAGCAGTATCTGTACGGCATCTTGGCACGCATGGGATTCATGCAGCTGCCGCATGACTGAGGCATGTACCGTATCTCCCTTGGCCGTGGTAGCAGTATCTGCACAACATCTTGACACGCATGGGATTCACGCAGCTGCCGCATGACTAGGGCATGTATCGTATCTGTTGATTTCTAGAGGAACTTAATCACATGCTCCTCTACTTAGTCTCTACTCCCACTACCAGCCCCACATACCACAAGAATGTTACTACCAAGACCGGCTGCTCATCGGCTACGTCGACGCTGACCACGCTGGCGACAAGGACATTAGATGCTCACGTACTAGCTATGTCTACTGTCTTGAACCTATCGGCGCAATCTCTTGGCACTCTGGAGAAATCAAGAGATAATCGCACTCTCATCTGTTGAAGCTGAATATTTCGCCCTCTGCATAGCTGCAAAGGAAGGACTCTACCTGCACAAGCTGCTGGAAGAAGCAAAGATCTCAACGTTACCAAGCTTCTCTTTCTTCTGCGACAACCAATCTGCGCTCAAGATAAAAAAACAACGTGGTTTTGCAAACCGGACGAAGCACATCTCGCTTCAATAATTCTTCGTAAAAGACAAGATGGAGCAGGGAAGACTCCAGCTGGCCTACTATTCCACTACCGAAATGGTAGCAGACTACCTGACCAATACTGCATGCTGCTGACTGGACTGCAACACGTTACCAGCCTCAAACACATGGACACTCCTGAAATGAAGGGGAGGGTGTGAAATGATGAAGAAGAAACATCAGCATTTTAGGAGCATCACGAGTTATACAATATGTGAGTACAACAACATCGAAGACGAATGAGTCAACCATGCTACAGTACCTTCCGACGGTTCACGCAGTTTGATGACACACGACGGAGGTTGCGAAGGGCAATGGTTGCTGACCGTTGACCTAGCAATCCAGCACTCAGAAGAGCAAAGGTCGAAGTCAGCACACCAGCAAGGACAGATAACCGTCCCGGTGTTGCAGAACGGGAGGTTACCCAAGTCGTGAGGTTTCTGCCAAAGATCCCTGGGCTGTTCTCAGCCCAATATGGAGAAATACGAAACTAGCGGAAACCCTCATTTCCAAGGTGTTTTTTGGGGTCACACTGATAAATTTTTCAGAACTCAGTCACTAACCACTGAGTTAAAAGGGTGTGTTACATAGCGGGTTAGTGCGCCCACAACCCCCCAGACAGAGAGGCCTGCAGCCCTTTCCCGAGGATCTCAAGGGCAACCCTAACGGGTCTCTCGACACCCTCCCTCGCTGGGATAGGCGGAAGACACAAGCGCCTCTGCAACACTGGCACTGGGAATTGAACCCGAGTCACTCGGCTCTGATACCATGTCAGAACTTAGTCACTGACCACTGAGTTAAAAGGGCACGTTATGTAGCGGGTCAGTGCGCCCACAACCCCCCAGCCAGAGAGGCTTGTAGCCCTTCCCCGAGGATCTCAAGGGCAACCCCAACGGGTCTCTCGACAAAATCAGCATGGCATATAACAAATCTAGGGGTTCCAACTCAACTCAATATATCACAAGGGTGGATATCTTACATCAGGAAGATGCAAACCAGGCCTCAGGATAGGTTTTGGACCCCTCTTCCTCATAAGGCCAACCCCCCGGTCTCACTCATTTCGAAAGGGTTGGTAGCATACGTCACTCTTTTGTATAAGGGTTGCAAGTGGATTCACTTTTTTATATAAGGGTAGATTGTCACAGCAGATTGTAATGCATGCACTGCACAGCTCGTTGCTTGGCGGGATCACACCAGCTTCCGTGTGTACTGTGTACATCATCAGCTAGTGTCGCCTAGGGAAGAGTGCGCTGGGGTGGTCCTTGACCCTGAACCGCATGCAATGGGGCGCGTTCAATCTGGTCTCCGCTAATTAGCGTCCTGAATACTGCTCTGTTGGCGGTGGGCAGAGGTTACGTTTTGGCGAAGGCTACTCTGATTTGGGCCGAAATATATTTCCCAAGTCAGGAATTGGCTACTCTGAAAGCTTAGTGTCTAGCAACTAACAAGTCTGATTTTTTCCAGGTTCAGATTCAGAATCAGATATTGTATCAGAGTTGATGTTACGAGGGGGGGCGACGAACGCAGGGGGGGGGGGGGGGGGGGAGGGGGGGGGGGGGTTTGCGCGAACAGGAGAGGGGGAGCGATGAACGGGAGGGGGGAGCGACGAACAGGAGAGGGGGAGCGACGAACGGGAGAGGGGTGGCGGCGAACGGGAGAGGGGGAACGACGAACGTGTGAGAGGGGGAACGATGAACGGTAGAGGGGGGGAGCGACGAACAGAAGAGAGGGGCAACGGCGAATGGGATAGAGAAAGTGGAACGTGCGAAGGGGCGAAAACAGAAAGAGGGAGGTAAAGAAGACTGAACAAGGGAGAGGATACGGAAACACGGAGAGAGAACACAGAACTTGGGGGAGAGAGTATACGGAACTAGTGAGAGAAGTGATTTGTCACGGCAGTGTGATTGGGTGCGGGAGGGACTGGTTTTTGGTTGAGGACTGGAACAGGAAACTTGAGTTGCCAGGTTTGTGGGAGGAATATCTCTAGGTTTAGAGGACTTAGCCGATTTTCACGGGTTGATAGAGGATGATAGAGCAGTTGGGGATGATGAGTTCACTTCACTGCCTTATGAGGACTTCACTGCCGAAATTTCATGGCTGCGGGCAGATACGGGGAGGAGGGGGGAGGGGGGGTGGGGTGGGGGGGGAAACACATACAATTCGCTAAGGGTGGCTCTACGTGCTGTTCTTTCGCATCAGTGTGACTCCGGATTACTTTCTGACAGTATTTTAGTAAGACAATAATAGAATATGGGTCCCATAAACACTATCATGGCGACTCTTAAAAAGAGCACTTTCCAATCCGAGCACCGTCGTAGTTTGGTAAACAAACTTTTGTTCCAGGGATCATCTTATCTACACATTCATACCCATTCATCTTCCGGTAGCACCCCTTGATTCCATGGAATTGCGCAATTTGAACACTTTTGCAGGTGTCTGTCGGCATGAAGAAATACTCGTTGTCGGTTGGACAAGTCCCAATTTCAAAGGAACTTGAACTCTTGGTGCAGATCTGCAGGGGAACAAACATAACCTTTTCAAAAAGATGAAATGGTCCAACCCCACGTGCTGCACACACGAGTTAGCAGTACGGAACAGCCATGTTACAGTCTGCCAGGAGTGTACCTGCTGTTCAAGAGACCCCTTGAAATCAAAGTTTTGTGCCGGAAAGGGCTGGTTGCAGTCGATACCGGGGTTGAGGCGGTATAGTTCCAGCGTGCTCAGAGGAGGGGTTGCCTTGTCCCTGATGCTGCTGCACGTGTCATCTGTCCCGGGCCGGAGGAACTCGTCGCACACAGCTATGCGGTTGGCCTTGGAGGGGTCTCTCTCCACGCACACCGCCTGGGAGGGCTTCAGGGACGAGCAGTCCACAGCGGGGTTGAGCGCCTGAAATGCAGTCTCACACGCCGCATCCGACGCCCCCTCCCCACACAGCTGCACCTGCCGCCCCACCCCCGCACACGTGTCACCCTGGGGGAAACAATGGGAGAGCAGGGTGGAGGGGGCGGGGGAAGGAATATTCCAGAAAGAATAAAGAGTGCATCACGTCCCCATGGTGCAGCCCACGGCTTTGAGTGTTTCAGGTACGAAGTGTACCAAGGGAAGGTTGGCATGGCAGAGGGCGACGAGGGTTCTCCATGCATGCTGTGGAGAAGCATACTCAACTGCTCAAGTGTAACATGACGGGATTCACCGTGCATGTATCACTAAAGTCATGCACCGGAATGTCCCACAGAGGCAAATCGAATGCGTAGCTAGATTCGAACTAACCACAGTTGATTGCCTAGAGTAGTTCCTCTTACCCTTGTTGAAAGTATATGTCCAGCATAGCAGACGAGGTGCAATGCGAAGGAGCTGTGCTATATGGACATGCGACAAGAGTTTCCTCCAGCACCTCCTTGTATGAATCAACTGTATATTTATCCCTTGTACTCAGACATCTTCTCCAGGCAAGCTACTACTCCTCTTCCGCCGCACCGCTAGGCCATCTTGCGCAACACAGCCGCTTTGGCCAACCACGCCTATGGAAGAACCATACCTTTCATCATGGCATGGCTGAACCAACGGCTGAGAAATGGCATGACAAAAAGTAGGAGCAGAGAGGGAGAAGGAGCGTACTACACTGGTGGTGTAGAAGACACTGCAGTCCCGGGCGTTGGAGATCACATAAACCTCAGTGTTGATGCGCAGAGGCTTGGAGCAAGAAACGCCCTGCGCAGGTAGCAACAAGGGATAGACAGACAAGGACACTCGAGACAGCCTTCTGGTTTGCCGGTGGTTGCGCAGGAGGAAGGTGAAACAGGAAGGAGGCAGCTGTGGTGTGTGTGCGAGCGCTGGGCGGCGCTGACCTTGTTGAGCAGCAGGAAGTCAGCAAGCGGCAGGCTGAAGACAGTCGTGATGTGCGAGCACAAGACGTTGGCACCCAGCACTTTGTACTTGCCCTGTGCCTGGCCTGCCATGCACACACACGGCCGTGTGCAGGGAGGAAATTGGATGATGATGGGGAGAAACTACAGGGAGGAAATATGCAACGCTTGCACAACCTCACATGGCCAGCAATAAGGGATCCAATTTGGCTGTGTAGGTGGTTGGATAGAACTCTTAATGCCATAGAAAACAGACGAATTTCAACTTTGGCAATCTACGCAAGGCACATGACCCTGCACCCTAAGTCCACGACTGGAACCAAGACAAAGAACCACGTTCAGTACCAGGGGTGCAAGAGAAGCCTCCACCAATCATGGTGCCCTGAATGAAGCCCCTGGGACACACACAGGAGTAGCTGCCCCTGCCATCGTTCACACACGTGCCCACCACACACGGGTTTCGACTGCTGGACCCACACACGTCCACTGGGGGGCAGCGCCATGGGGGTGGCGTGGGGAAGGTCATGGAGGTGGGTGTGGGTGTGGGATACATAGGAACGCTAGAATCAGGGTGGCATATGTGGTGTAGGCGAGACATGTAATTCTGCTGCGATTGCTGAGGCGGAGTGTGATTGTGCACATGCGCCCCCCATGTACATCATGGAAGGAGGATGAAGGAATAATTGCAAAGCATCGCAACACAACATTTTATGGAAGGAGGATCAAGCTATGCCATTCTATGCAAGTCGACACTGACAGTTGCATATGTGACAACACTGTTGTAACGAGACACAACATCAACGCATTGCAACAGAGTAGTGTCAACAAAGGTTTACGTTACCATGAACACAGGTGCACATTACCATAGGCACAGGTGTAGGATCCATCGGTGTTCTTCACTTCAGCAAAGCGGGCATCAGAGCACTTGCAGCGATTGCCAGTGCCCTTGGTGCTGCAGTTGAACTGGCCACACGGGTTGAAGACAGGGCCGAGACTCCCAATCTTGTAGGACCGCAGGCCACAGGGGTCGGCAGGCACTGCAGGGAGATTGAGATGACAATTGGCCGTGCGTGTTATGCATGGAGAAGCAAACACAATACAAAAAGAGGCCAGGACGACGTGTAACGCCAGAATCTTGAGTCATAGCAAGTCATAGTATCAGGTCGCAAAGCTCCAAGAGAATTTAATCAGTGAAAACTGGTCAGCAAGGAAGAGCCGCAGCAGACCCGACTTCTGACTCACGAGTCAAGGGACTCACTTCTGACGACGGGGAAGAGCCCCGGGAGAGTGTTGATGCCACAGATGCCATCGCCACTGCGAATGTCCATTCGCATGTGGCCCTGGTCGCCCCACTCTGCGCCCCATGAGTTGCGGATGATCCAGAAGGGTGGCAGCAGGTCGGGCTTAGCAGAGTCAACTCCGTACACCAGGTAGCCCACCACCAGCACCACGTGATTGAGATGATTCGTGAAGCACGCCTCGTCAGCATAGGTACCACTCTGAAAGGGAAGCAAATGAGTGGCAAGTGATGAAATCTAGGGAGTAGTGAAGACACCTACAAAGTGCGATACAGACCGAGAGGGATGTGCTTGGTTACCCCATTGCATTACCCCATTGCAGTCTTGCAAGGAGCGTTCCTTACCCCATCGTAGTCTTGGAAGGAGGGTGCGGAAGCCTCGATGTGCACAATGACTGGCTGGCGCTGCACTGCCAGCATGAGCCCAAACCACCCGTAGAAGGCCGTGCGCTCGATGCCCCGGACGCCATAGTACCTCGTGCTGGCCTGCAGGCAGGGAGTTGGTAGGGAGAGGGGAGAGAGAGGTGGGGGACAGAACAGAAGGATGCCATAGTACCTCGTGCTGGCCTGCAGGCAGGGAAGACATATGGAAAAAGGCAAGGACACAGTGTGCCACATGCATGCTCGTCACGCTATTATTACAAAGGTCAAATTCGCAAGCCAGCGACAACTGAAAGTGCACCAGCCTTACCTTGCCAGCTGCTGTACGTCCCAGAGATCTCATGGCTTTCATGGAGGAGGCAATGTAAGCTGCCTGCTCCAGCAGCCCCCTGCCCTGGGCGGTGGCGTTGAGGAGGAACTGCAGCGCCTTGGTGGGGGAGCCCCCGTCACAGTTGGAGGAGAGGGCGAGGCGCAGATGGTCCACCGACAGCACGGGGGGCTGTGACCAGTTGCTGGCAATGCTGTAGGCTGCCTCCACCGCTGCCACCACGGCATACGCCCACGAGTCCGCTGCCAGCATAAGCAGGAAGAGAGCAATCCACATTAGCTAGGCTGTCAACAGCCCCATTGTTTATCACTTGGTTGTTTTTGTTGTTCGACTTTCCATTGTATTCCGCAACCTTGGAATTGTGCGAGTTTCAGCCTGACATGACGCATCTATTAGGAAGCATATATCATGTACCTTATCAATCCCATTCAAACAAACATCACACCGGAATCAGTAGTAAATCCGATTTTCAGTTTTGTCTTTCAGGCTACTCAACTTTTCCACACCTATCATGCACCTTTCACCCATGCAACTCACCGCAGCCCCTTTGGTTCTTGACAGGCCAGACAGGTTGAGGCAAGGCCCAGGAGGCAAAGGACTTGACAAGCCATGCGGGGCTGTTGTCTTGCGCTGGCGCGAATCCCGCACTGGCATAGTGGAAGGCGGAATTGAAGCCCTGAGATGAGAAGGAGTCCTCGTCCAACACAAACCCCAGCGCCAGGTCTGGTGTGCGGGAGATAAACAATGGGTGGTGTGTGATGATGTATAGCGATACAAAATTGAGACAACAATGAAGAGCCATTTCAAGGTGTACCCCTTGAGTACACTGCGCACGGTGCACGTCGAGGATTGAGACCGTTCGACCATGCTCCCCCACTCAAACATGCACCCTACGCAGCCACAGAAGCATACCTCAAGTAGCATTGGGATCATAATTACCTTGTGCATTGGGAGGTAGGCATGGTGGTAAACCTGCAATGCAGGTCATGAAGAGGGAAGGGGAGGTTGTTGGCACACATTGCAGTTTCATATATTTGCCTACAACATATGATAAGTTGCCTTGACCTCTGCCTAGACATGTGCATGTCATACGAAACCTGACCGTACAAATTCTAACAGAAAAAAAAACCTTTTCACCTAAAAGAATCATTTGTATAAAAGGACAATGGCCCCACACACACTTATTCATATACTCCTTGCTCCCGATGCCATCAGTTCTCACCTGTAACAATCTCCCACTTGAATATGATGTTTTCTTGAGCCGTATCCGCCGTTGTTGCGACGAAGCTGAAGAAGAAGTTGGTGTCCGCAGCAGTAGGCTGGAGGATGGAGCAGAGGGACACTCGAGCGCGGAGGGTGGGGGTGAGGGGCTGAACAGGGTTGGAGGAGAGGAAGACTCGGAGAGTGCCGCCGCTGGTGGGGTCGTAGTGGATCCAGGCGTGCTTGGTTTGGGCGTCGTTGAGGATGAGAGGGGCCGTGGCAGAGGCGAGGGACACAGGTGAGCCGCCCACATTGACGCCCACGTGGTTGTCGTTGGGGTCGCTGTGCTTCACACTCAGCACCGAGTCAAACTCCACTCCCACACTCCGCCGCCCCACCCCTCCCACCCCCACACCTGCTGCTGCCCCTTGCGGTGCCGCCGCACTCACAACAAACGCCAGGCCCTCCCCCCCCATGACTTGCTCTGCTGGCCTCATGGCGAAGGTGAAGGAGACGTTGAAGGCAAAGGGGGTGCCGCACGGGCTGGGGCTGTCGATGAAGTGGAAGAGGCGGATGGGCGTCTGCACCACGGCTGCCCCCCATGTGCTGCTGGCGGATGGCGTGAGGATGATGCTGCCGTTGAACAGCTGAGTCGCTGCAGCAGACAGGGAGACCGGCGTTGACTGGGACGACTCGGTTGAAGGCAGGACTGCAGCAGCAAGGCAAGATGCGGGAGCACCAAGAGTAGGATATGTGAGTATCCTGGTAGCACAGCAATTAGAAGAAGTAAACAATGCAAAGTATCCCAGGATGAGGTCACGCGAGAGGCATATGTGAAATGTCTCATGACTTGAATGTAGTGCATACCGCTGTAGGTGCAGAAGTGGGGTCCAGCCTGGTTGTCGAAGTTGCTATCGCAGATGCACGCTGATTCTTGCACGGAAGCAATGTACGAGCACACGCCATGCCCACTGCATAGCGGCCTGGCGTCCCCAGCAGGAAGGCCACAGAAGGCGGCGCACTCCTCTGCACTCCTCTGGTGGCCGTACTCCCCTTCAACAGTAGTGGTGTTGGGCAGGCAGTTGCCAAAGATGTTGGCGTAGAAGGTGCGGTTGGATTTCGGCGGCACGACAGCACCGTGGGAGAAGAAGCAACGGTGCGTGAAGTAGAACTGCAGGCGGGGCGACGGGGGTGCTGGGAGCCGGCCCGTGAACTGGTTGGTGGACACGTCACTGTGAGTGGAGTTGGGGGTGGAGTGCAGGGAGGTGGGGGGCAGGGAGGCGGCGGGCAGGCAGGTGAAAAGTAGGAGGGAGGTGGAGTGACGGGCAGTAAGGAGGGGACAAAGAGATGAAGGCTGGGGACTTGTGTCGGATCAAAGACGTATGTGGTTCTGTGGTGTCGACGTCACAGAAAGAGGAGAGGACTAGTAAGCCAAAGAAACAAGGGATCGAGGTTTGCAAGAGTGAGGTAGGGCTGAAGAATCAGAGAATAAATTGGGAAACCAAGCTGAATTGGAGAAAAAAACCAAGCCAAAAAGGAGAAATTCAAAGCCCCCGTTACTCCTGGTGCGCTCGTGCTCTTGCTGCCCAAGGTCTCTCTTTCTACAGCAGCACGAAGGGCCATTGCTCATCCCCCAGCATGAACGCACAGTGTGAGAAGGTTGGTCATGGTACTGGTGATGCTGTACACATCGCCTGAGAGAGAGTTCCTGTTCAATATACTGCCCAGTGGCATGCCAGATTGCAGACAAACGGGAGGCAGATTGCAAGCAAGCAATGAGTCCGAGTCGCCCGAACACGCTGCTTGTGGACGAACACAAAGGAGGCGTTTTCGGCTTCCCAGGAAGCACCAGAGGCAACAGCAAAGAGTGCAGAAAGCTACGATTTCCATACTAAAATTCAGCCCACACTTACAGGAGGCCAAGACTCTGGAGGTTCGAGTACGATCTGGGGATAGTGCCAGTGAGCCGCATGCTCTCCAGGTACCTGCACGCGCACACACCACGTCAAGGAAGCAGTACTACATCAGCTACTCTTTTGGCAGAGCAGTCAGGAATGTGTTATAGAGCAGATGCTATTTCAAGTGAAAGCACTTGGAAGCACGTCCTCTTTGCATTAGGTCATTAGGTTTCACTTCATGTTGTGATATGTACCTTGCAGAAACTGGTTTCTATGTCCAAATTAAAAAGATAGAAGCAGTTGTAGAAAGCAGAAATATTAGTTATGAAGCACACATTGAGTGAGTTGAGACAAGAAATAAAAGGAAGGGGGTGGGTATGGCTTTCCGCACAGAACATCAAGCCGAGTGAGGCTTCCAATTGATGAAGGCAACGTCCCAGATATGTTTGTCCAAGCCAACTGCCTGCATTGGTGGGGATGGCAGAAAGCTGAGCACAACTGCATTGCGCATGTGAAGGGGCATGCTAAGAATGAAAGAAGTTTGATCTACTAGCCTTGATTTAGAAGAGTGACAGTAACACTAACAGTAACAGTAGACGGTAATATCTGGAGATGGGATAGAATGATGTGCCATCGCTATTGAGGGCAACATATTAACTTCTCACAGGATGCTGAGCCGATTCAGTGCTCCCAAAGAGGCAGGAATAGTTCCATTCAGGTGGCTTACTTCAAGCATGCTGACATCGGTGGTGGGGGGGGGATAGGAAGTGAATGAGTGGGACGGACATGCAGATGTGGGGGGGTGAGGAGAGAGGACAAGGACTAGGAGGAGAGAGAGAGGGAAGCTGGTGGCACCTTACTTTGCCTTGGCAGTGCTCCACAGCCCACATTCAAATGTGGGCGCAAATTGTGAAAAGGGGCTGACATGGAAAACAACTTTGGCCAAAACGCTTGAGCATTGAACCCCAGCCACAAGTTAGCCACCACGCCAGGAGACAGTGGCCTCAGTGATAAAATCACTCACTACCAATGTCCTGACCTCTGGGAACAGACAGTTACAATGCACAAGCAGTGACTAGGGGACTCCCCTCCCTGCTTTCCTATGACTCACAGCTCTTCAAGGCTCACTAGGTTGCCCAACTCTTCAGGAATAGACCCCTCAAGAGAGTTCCTTCCCATGTTGCTGCAGGCAAGAAAGTAAAGCGTGCTGCATTTAGGAAGTGGGAGGTGAGCACCTTTGAAGGAGGAATGGGTGCAACTAACAGGAGGGCACGTCAACAAGGGAAGTATTGAAGCGAGGGACATGCGGCTGTTCCTCTGTGCTCCATTCGTTCAAGCTCATGATATTAACGGACGTACAGTGTGGTAAGCCGGGTCAGGCGGCCAAGAGAGGCTGGTATGGTGCCCTCCAGAAGATTCGCTTGTGCCTCGCTGCAAGGGAGGGGTTGAGGCAAGAAAGCAGCAGTCTTGTTAAAAAACTTGGAAGGTGCTGCAAGCTCTATGACTACAAAGGAGCAGCGTCTTCCATCCGAGCATACAGAGATCGACAAAAGCCAAAAGGGAAAAAGTTGTGGACTTTGGTACAGCGACCACAGGCACCGAGAAATATGCAATAATATGCTCTCGATAGTTGCCGTGGGCCATAATGGCAGTATCGTTTCTTGAGGCATAGAAGTAGCAGACTTCATGCTCACAATACCATCCATGGGATGTTTTCTGCAAACCCAAGAGGCACTGGTTCTCGTAACCACGTACAAGCTCATCAGATTGGGCATTGTGGAAAGCCAATCCGGAATGGTTCCAAGAAAAGCGCTCGCACTTAGGACCCTGAGAAGTAGAACCGGAACAAGGGAGTGGGGGAGGGGAGGTGGGGGACAAATGGCCCGTATGTTGCTTAACCTGGCAGCACCCATAGCCGCATTGCAAATATAGGGTTTCCGTGCATATCATGTCGTAGCTGGTTTGGTTCGGGTTGCTACTCGCGTATTATTTCCTGAAAAGAGGGAACAGTCGCTTTCTTAGGTAGAAGTAAAGCAGCCTCATGTGTAAAACAAAGGGACGAGTGACGCGAGGAAGCATGCATATGCATAGCAGGCTAGGCAGATATCAGACTCACAGTGTCTGGAGGGTAGTGATAGAGCTGATAGCAGACGGGATGGTTTGGAGAAATATGTTCATTCCCAGGTTCCTGGTCAGGGTTGAGGGGCACATATGCATTGCATCTGTGTGGACATGGATGAAAGCTTCGTTCAACGCGCAAACATGGATTTCAGCGGCAATAAGCTGAAAGAGACTCAACGTGCTTGCATAAGACATCACCTGCATGCATAGTCCTAAGGCACTCATCGTACCTGCCTAAGACGTCATCTGCATAGTTGGTGACCCTGCCCAAACCCTTGTCAGCAACGCTCTACAAAATCCCGCCTCCCTCACTACAAGCCTATCCTCTCAATGTTCTCAGTTCTCTGAACTTCAAGCTGTTCCGATCACACGCTCACGCATTACAGTGTGATCAGTTGGCTGAGGCGAGACAGTGACTCGGGTATGGGCTTCTTGAAAATATTGTCATGGAGGTTCCTGTGAACGAGACCCATGGCAAGCACGGTAGAGAGACGGGAGGGTTGGTGCGACTGGGAGGGTGAACAAGCGTTGACAGTGGTAGCACATGCGACCGAAGAAGCATAAGACAGAGACAGAATTTAGCATTCCTGTAATTGATGGAGACAGGTACACATGCAGTGATCAATCGTGCAGTGATGAATCATTTTTAGTGATTGTGCAGTGGCTAGACTTGAGCATTTTACCCAGTCGGCTCGCGGGTACCCGACCCGACCCGACATTTTGGCCGGGTTGGGTAATAGGATTTTTATGTATTAACTGGTCGGGTCAGGTCAGGTCGTCGGGTACTTGGGCTAGGTAATACATACCCGGTACCCCAGAACTACCCGAAAGGGCGGGAAATTCGTTACCCATCGGGTCGCGGGGGTACCCGACCCAATTCAGGTTCAGGGTCGCGCAATTACCCGATGGAAACCACCGCGAAAGCTTCCATGCTGGTTGTTAGATTTCGACCAGAAGGTCGAAATCTCCCGCTATTATATTGTTTGTCACTTGCGATCTACCTAAGCCTACCCTCAGATGCACCTAAGAGCACTCCGCAGCTGGTCTACTACAAACCGCATGGAAGCTTGGAAGGCAGTAGACAAAGGGCCGCTAAGTGGCGTTTTTTGCTGCCACGCCCAAAAGACTTGCATCATTCCCCTAAAACACAACCCTGCAGTGACAGGTCTTTGAGACACATTCCCAGCAGGTTCTACCAAAGAGTAGCATTTACTGGTGAGTTTTACAGCCATCTAGGGGTATCTGGGTAATAATACCCGACTTCAATTAGAACTGGGTCGGGTAAACCCGACCCGCTGCACAGGTACCCAGTTACCAGGTATTAAAAGCCCGGTTCGTGTAATAGACCTCCGGAGATTACCCAGAAATTACCCGACTCAACCCTGACCCGACCCCAGGCAGGCCAAAACCGGGTCGGGTCAGGTAATTACCCGGCTTTGCTAATGTCTAGCAGTGGCTGTACTGTGGCACTGACAAGTACGTGAGGCGTGAGAGCTTGCTGATGTCGTCTGGTATAACACCCATCAGGTTATTGTCATTCAAGTCGCTGCTCTCATGGCGTGCACATGGATGGGCAGGGTGGAGACAGGCGGGGGTAAATGGAGACGGCGGGGATGGCCGGAGGAAGAGAAGAAGTGAGACGAATTTGGAGAGTGTCCAGAACAGCAATCTTAAGAAGATGAGGTAGAGAACTGAGTTGGATAGGGGTAGATACAGAGACATAAGTGGTACAACGATAGAGTATAGATGGACTCTGGGAATGTGTGGAAGGAGACTCTTTTTCAGCTGCAAAAGGACCAGCAGGGTGGAAGTGCAGACTGTTGCTTGCACGTGTGTTACTGATGGAAACGGTGTTCCGCCTTTGTGTAAGGACTCCTCCTTTCCTCGGGTACGCTCTCATTAAACTCTCGAAGTATTCTCGCTCAAGCATGATGGAAGTCTAGTAGCACTGCAAGCCCAACTTGACACATGGTTCATGGAATGTTGCCTTCTCATCTCACCCTCATCACCTCCTTTTCTCCACCCCCTCTTCACTCTTCACTCTTCTCAAATTAGCACACTCTCTCTCCTCCTGAACCCAGCCCTCAACCCCTGCCACTGCCTAAACACAGATTCCCAAGCCCCTGCCAGCCCACAGCAAGAGGCAGCCAGTGAGCACGCACACGGCCTTGAGAAGCGGCAGACTGAAGAGGGCGGGGGTCAGGGGGCCCGCTAGACCACTGGATGTAACGGATCTGATGCACGGGGGGGGGGGGGGGGGGGGGGGACGAGGAGGAGAGAGGGCAATGGTGGATGGAAGGCGTCAGGTCACACTGAAGGGAGCAAGGCTTCAGATCGTGATAGGCAAGGCCCAACGGAGACCGAATGGGTGGATGTGAGAGGATACGAGCAACTGGCGAGAGCATTCACAAAACAAAAGTTGTGGAATTTTTGGGACTCGTCCGTGCCCTGCTGCAGCATTAGCAGCCCATGCGATCTTTGGCGCCTCTTTCTGGACCCGCTCCTCCCCACAGCAACTCACAGGAGTGTAAGGTGCTGCAGCCCACTGATGGCGTCTGGAATGATCGCAAAAAACGAGTTGCCAGATGTTGACCTGAAGGGAAACAGTCACGTTACGGGGGTGTGTGTGTGTATGCAGAGAAAGGTTCCCATGATCCGCATGGCATGGCACATCGCATGACATGGCAGATCGCATGGCATGGCAGGACAACCACAACTCAGCACAAAATAAATGGTTGACACGGAGTAGAACTCAGTAGCGCAGCGCATGGAGTGCAGGGAGCATGGGCTGTGCTCACAGGGAGACCACATAGCCATCAGCATCGCATGTGATGCCCTGCACTGTGGAGCAGTCGCTGTTCGTCGACCACGTCTTGCTGTCGGGGAAGCTCCCCCACACTTCCACCAGCTGTAGCAACACTTTGACTGCGCAGGGGAGGAAAGGGAGCGACATGCAGCGGGCAGAGAGATTTAAGGGTTACTAGTGGATCTGTGAAGTTCTGGACAGATGGACCGACAAATGGATGGGTCAGTGGCCGGATGAGTAGTTGGAAAGGTGGATGGATGGATGGATGGATGGATGGATGGATGATGGATGGATGGATGGATGGATGGATGGATAGATGGATGGATGGATGGTGGTGGTCTGGAAACAACGGGTTCAAGCTTAACCAGGAAATGAAAATGAACCAAGAAATGAACTTTGTCGAGATCAGCAAAGCGTAAGCGTTCACTCCACCATCTACTACCCCCCCTGTGCATCCACTGCCCGCACTCACAGTCTGCGCTCTGGATTCGCCGCGCCGTCACCACTGTGCTGCGATGCGTCCAGCAGGTGAACAGCAGCAGCAGCAGCAGCAGATGATGATGCTTCTGAAGGATGGGGGGAAGGAGGGGGGCCGGGAGGGAGAAAGGGAATGAGGGGGTGTGAGAGATAGCAGGGGCCTGGGGAGGGAAACCTAAGGAGCATAAGAGTGTGCGCGTGTACTGCCTGAGTGGTGGGACGCACGCCTCGGGATCAGTCCAGGTGATCTTTACTAGACCTCCGACAGGCTAAAGCGAGTTTCTAGGGCCCCTAGAAGCCACGTGCCGCCGTGGATTGGGCTCTGAGTGACGGATGGCGAAGTGCGCTCCTGCTTCTTTTTCGGCTGAGAGAAGCAGAGCTTGCTGCGGCCGCGGATTCCAACCTTAGGCTATCACGAGTAGTATGCATGGTGCAGCTGCCCCTGTCTCCGAGTCGCGACGGGGAAGTCTGCGAAGCAAGCCGTCGAGAGGCACAGCGCCAGGAATAAAGCAAGCGGGAATGGGAAACGGACCTTCATGACAGCGGAAACGAAGAAGAAGAGGAGACGCGCGATGCTGGTCACAAGCGGGTTGGGGCAGAGACGCGCGGATCTCGAGTTGGTGGTACTACATTTAGTAAACGGGGGAAGGACGAACGTTGCAGGGAGGGCCACGAACTAATGCTAGCACGGAGGGTTACAGCAAGTTCCGTTGCGCTAAACACCAGCAGACAATGATGCTGTTCGGATGATACTGGCAGTTGGAACTTCGCATTTCGGTTCGGTGTCCATTGGCTTGCTGGCATCCGTCATAACTTTTGTTGACCTGGTTTGTGATGTGCTGTGTAGATATTTTGGCATCCTTGTCAACTCGGGTCGGGTACACGCCTGCTCGCCTACTTGTTATCCAGCTTCTGCACGTATACACCACCTCCACCAAAGGCTAATAATACGTAGGTTTAGCTTGCTACATAAAAGGTAATAAAATTTACATGAACAATTAGCCAACCCAAAAAATGATGAATTGCACGGTAAACTAAAAAAAATCATCAATCCACACAGCTCTGGTGGCTCTCCCCAGCGATCTGATGCGACGAGGAAGTTCCGGTAGGATGCTTACAAGGTTTCCAGTACAGAAGAAAATGAAAGGTCTAAGGGCGAATTCCTAGGAAGCTGGATAAAAACCAATAATATTATTGGTCCCGACCATTTCGCAACATGCATATCAACAATCCTGCAAAAAGATCGCATCCAACTGCCGCACCCGAGTAGTTGAGAATGGTCATGCGAAGGCTGCAGAGTCTAGAGAAGTGGCACATTGGCAGAGTTGGTGAACTCTGGCGATGCCAACTGCGGAAGAGAGGCCTGCCGACGGAAGAGGGCCGCAGAGTCTGCGGAAGGGGCACAGTAACAGAATCTGCCGACACCAACAAATTCAGTCAGCAGAGAAGATTCAGCGACAAGGCGAGACCCTGCGGAAAGCTTTATCGGCAGAGGACGGATTCATCGAAGTGTCGGCAGAGAACACTCGCAGAAAGAAGTGTACAGCAGCAGAAGATGAAGTTTTCATGCTCGGCAGGGTACGGGCGCATAAGGTCTGGCAGAGTTTGGGCGCGCGAGTCTCGACGGAGTCTCGGCAGAGGGCGTGGGTCCTCGTCACGATGCGACTTTATAGAAGGGCGCGAATTCACTTTGCAGCAGAAAGAGGAACCTGAACCTGGGTGAAACCGAACCTATCTGCAAGATGAATTGGGTGCACATGGTCGTAATCGAAGATATGTGCAGCGCAGGAGACAGTTAAGACCCTGAACTGTCACGTACAATTGCCTTGGCTGGTGAACACCTGCCAATGCTGACTTTACATTTCACCAGCCAATGCTACATAGGAATTACATCTGCCGATGCTGAGTTGGTAAAGTACATCCAAGTGGTGATGTAGAACGTTATGCTGCCTGGTGCTGACTTGGCAAAGTACACCTGCACGGTGTTTTTACAACGTTCGACAAAGAACGTTCTTGCATCGTTCATTGAGATAGTTTTAGGTCTTGCCCTTGTACCATATTCAATCTTGATTCCAGTGAATTCTGTGTGTGTGCAAGCTTTGTCAAGCTATACTGATAGATACACAATCTGGAGGCAAACTTCTCCTTAGAGGACTGCACAGTAAGTGCAGCTCCAAACTCTGCGCCAGGCACTTCCCGCAGAAGTTCCTTTTTAAGCAGAAAATTCAGCATGGTGCGATGAGCGTCGAAGCTGTCCGAGGATGAGGCACGATAGCTCTACTCGGCGAGGCGGGAAAGCAATTTTTGGTTCCTGATGTACTCTACATCCCTGGAATTTAAGCAACTTTGCTTTCTGCCGGATAGCTGAAGGACTGCGAAGAGAAGCTGCAAGACATTGGCGAGGAGACACTCATGCTCTTTGCGGACGGAGTTGCGCTTGGACGAGCTTGTTACAAGGACGTGTTCTCAGCATTGATGTGCAGCCATGGCCGTAGTAGAAGATTGTGAGAGAAGCGATTGCTCTGTGCACCTTGGCGACTGACACACGCTCTTCTACAGACGTGTGGCACACTCATTTGGCACATGCTGGGATCGGGACGATCAAGCAGACTACGGCGCACAGAGCGGCCACGGGCTTGGACATCAAGAAGACCTTGAGTGCTGATCTGCCACGTGTCTCTTGCATGAGTGGCAAGATTTTCCGACACACCTTTCCGGCAGAGGGGAGTGATGAGAAGAAGGTGCTGGGAGTAGTGCATGTCAATCTCTACGGACCCTTCCGAGTTCCCGCTAAAGACGACAGCCGCTATGTTCTTCTGCTCAAGGATCGCAAGACGCGCTTTGTCTGGATCTATCCGATCGCGCAGAAGAGCGACACATTTTTTAAGTGGCTTCCTAGTGCAGAACGACAATGTGAGGCGATAGTGAAGGCTCTGCGCTCTGATCATGGTGGCAAAATTTTGGGCTGACAATTCATGGAGTTCCTCAAAGAATGCGGAATTGAGCACAACCTCCTGTGCCCCTACACGCCGCAGCACAACGGGATGGCAGAGCGCGAAATGCACACTGTGGTAGAGGCTGTTTGCCCCTATGCACACATGTGTATGCTACACCACTCGTGGCATCTTGCTGCTCTACCGGCTATGTGGGTGCGGAACCGTCTGGAGCATTCTTCTCTGCCATCGGGGACAACACCGTACGAGCTGCTCTATGGCGAGAAGCCAGATCTGAGGATGGCTCGCATTTGGGGGTGCATGGTGCAGTTTCTCATTCCTCAGAACAAGCATGGAGGGAAGCTGGCACCTAAGGCCTGTAGGGCTCTCCACTTGGGGGTGTTGCCGCAGAGTAAGGGCTGGTTGGTGCTCGATCTGGCGACCAATCGGTTGGTCTCCACAGTGGAGGCGGTCTTCTACGAAACGATATCGCTCGACGAGTGGAAGGCAACAATGCAGACTCCCACCAAGGTCGTTGACCCTTCTGTCTTCGATCAGGAATCCTCATGGCCAGATCTGGATGCAGAAGAAGAGGACAAGAATGATAGGATTGAGATTGTTCGAACTCTGCCGCCTGCACCAAATTTTGAGTCCTCGACCCCAGCCTCCTTCGGCAGAAAGCCCTCCAGCCGTGGGACCTCCTGTTGAGGATTCTTCTACAGAGGAGGCTTCTACAGATCCTCTGTTGGTCGAAGAGCGTGACGCGCCATCTGCCTCATCGAGTGCGCCCTCTTCTTCGATGTCGTCCTCTGGGGAGGAGGGGAGTGAGGTGCCTCTTGGTGTCATCCCCAGTGAACAATGCACGGAAGAGCGGCAGAACAATATTGCAGATGAAGCACCTGCAGAAGAACTATCTTTTGAGGAGTAGTCGGCAAAGGAGTTGTCGGCAGAAGAGCTATCTACAGGGGAGCAGTCTGTAGCGGAGCAATTGGCAGAGGAGCAGTTTGCAGAAGAACCACCCGCAAAGCAGCTTACTCTGCAGTGATCGATGCGCTCCAACAATGGTGTTCCGCCAGTTCGTTACCGCGTGGCGTTGATGGCGTTCTCGATGAAAGTCCTTGACGACAGAGATGAAGACGTAGCACTCAAAGAGCTTGACTCCTCCGAAGATCGTGTTGCAGATCCGGGACATCGCTGGGACATATCGAAGATGCCTGTCCCTGTCATTATGAAGAGTGGGAAGGACCGTGCAATAAAGGCAGCAAAGAACAAAGAGATGCAAACTCTGTGGGACCAGGAAACTTGGGATTTGGTTTTCCCACATCTTGGCGTCAATGTGATGGGAAATCGTTGGGTTCTCGCTACCATCTTCCCAACGATACGGTAGAGAGAGAGAGAGAGAGAGAGAGAAAGGACGTCTCGCCGTTCAAGGGTTTACATAGCTGCCTTATCTGGACTACGACCTAACGTACGCCCCCATCGTCAGCTATGTAACTGCTCTTCTACAGGTACTGATTGCTGCGACATTTGACTGGGAAATGATTCAGCTGGACATGACGAATGCCTTTTTAAATGCACCCATCGATCGTCCTCTCTACGTGAAGCAGCCGCACTTTGACGGCTCTAGCAGAGTTTTCTTGCAGAAGAAGAGTCTCTACGAACTCAAGCAGAGTCCAAAGCTGTGGTATGAAGAACTCGACGGAGTTTCGTAGAGCGAAGGCTGGTCGAGGAATTAGGTCGACGAAGCCTTCTTCTTCCACGAGGACAAGCATGGCAACAAGTGCTACTTGCTCTTCTACGTCGACGATCTACTGGCGGCAAGTCAGAGCAGGGCGCATTTGGTAGAGTTGAAGACTCTGCTCGAAAGTGCATTCAAGCTTCGAGAGATTAGCCCTGTGCAAAAGTACCTGGGGCTTAAGGAAAGCCTCAAGCACATGGTCGAGCATCACAAGCTGAAACTCAAGTACATCCCGACGAATGAGCAGCCAGCAGATTACTTGACCAAGGCGTTGCACTTTCCTGCGTTCGATCGGTGCTTCGGCAGATTGGGTCAACTACGATTGTCCGCAAAGGGGAGCGCAAAAGATAAAAATGTATTCTGATGAGGAATAGGTGCCATGACCACTTTCATGGCTGGTGCCGTGATTCAAGCGTGTGAAGAAGTGGAGATTCTCACAATATCGTGTACATTTGTTTTGTGTGTTTTCTTTTCTGTTTTCGTGTGTCGTAGACATAGGTTCTCTGGTTGATGGTGATTTCGCATTACCAGTGCAGCGGATTGTTGAGAATGCCTTGATCCTGCGAAGGCTGCAGAGTCTTCAGAAGTGGCACATTGGCAGAGTTGGTGAACTCTGTCAACGCCAGCTCCGAAAGAGAGGCCTGTCGATGGAAGAGGAAGGCAGAGTCTGCAGAAGGGGCACGGTGTCTGACTTTGCCAACACCAACAAATTTAGTCGGCAGAGAACATGCGAGATCAGGCGAGGCTCTACAAAAAGCTTTATCACCAGAGAATGGATTCTTCGAAGTGTCGGCAAAGTACACAAGCGGAAAGAAGTGTACCGCGGCAGATGAAGTTCTCATGCTTGGCAGAGTACGGGCACGCGAGGCCTGGCAGAGTTTGGGCGCGCGAGGTTTGGCAGAGTTTGGGCACGCGAGTCTTAGCAGAGTCTCGGCAGAGGGCGTGGGTCCTCGTCACGATGCGACTTCATAGATGGGCACGAATTCTCTTTGCGGCAGAAAGAGGAACCAACCTGAACCTGGGTGAAACCAAACCT